ATAAACCGACACTCTGTTGGTTTGTGTCTTTGTTTACGGGCAACAGTAAGAAGTTTTCTTTTTAAAGACCTGTCAGCTTGGTTCTTCCCTGAGCTCTGCCCTCCTTGTCTGACACCCAACAAGGCAACAGGATCCTGACCTGTATTACAATAAGGAGGAGAGGCATGGGTTGCAAGAAGACACAAAGGAATTATGGAGACTAAGTGCTTGGAAGGTACAGGTCCTTCACCCTTTACTGCTGAGCCTGCCTGTGTGGCACTTCTTTTTGCCTGCCCTGCTCGTCACTCTTGGGAGTGAACAGCCAGGCTAAAAAGAGTTTTGCCTTCTTTCAGTACAGACACTGCTATACACTTACATCACATCAACAACTGCCTCTCTTCTCAAGCCTTGAGAAGAGACCACGTGGTCAATAGGAAAAGGGTAGCTGATACCAGGGAGTTCTGCCATTAAAAAAAAAGGAAGAAAACAGTGTTGCCTTGAATTAACAACACACGACTATGCTGCAAAATGTATTTTTTTCTTTTATCTTTTCACACTCTTCCCTCTATTTGTTTTCACTATAACTGTGTAGCCCAAATTACTTTTATATTTTGGGCAGAAACTTCTGGATAATTAAGTAGGAAAAGGACAGCAATGCTGCCTTAGTTCACGTTTCTTCTGATTTTAATCATAAAACTCAAAGATAGAACATATATAAGATAATTGGTTCATATTCCTAACAGTCTAGGACTCTCCTAAAATGAATTTTCTGCTATTTTGCCCATTGTTTCACTGCTTGACCCTTAGATGAGCTCAGTTGGTTAGAGAATGGTGCTAATAATATCAAGGTCATGGGTTTGATCCATGTACAGGCCATTCACTCAACATTTGGACCCAATGATCCTTGTGGGTCCCTTTCAACTCAGAATGTTCTGTGATTCTGTGATACTTCTCTCATAACATTACTTGACGATGCACTAGATATCACCATCATGTTTCCTCTTTTCAATGTATTTTTCCTTAACTCCACTGCACTAGGACTTTCTTGTAATCCCTTTCCTCCAAACTACTCAATACTTATAGTTATTCTCACCTCATTCAGTAAAGGTAACTACTTATATTTATAAAGAAACCTGACAAGCTAATGTCAAAATGAGAACATGAGTCTGACACAAAAACAGCAGCTTTCTCAAGTAGCCCATAAAATGTGACAAAATCCAGCTCTCCCGGTTTCATCTGGGACAGTGTTCATTTTCTTCTTAGTCACTGGTACAGTGCTGTGTTTTGAATTTAGTATGTGAATAATGTTGATAACACACTGATGCTTCAGTTGATGCTCAGTGGTGCTTATTCTAAGTCAAGGACTTTTCAGTGTTCCATGCTCTGCCAGCGAGCAGGAGCACAAGAGGCTGTGAAGAAGCACAGCTAGGACAGCTGACCTGAACTGGTAAAAGGGATACTCCACACCATAAAATGTCATGTTCAGTGTATAAATGAGGAGGGAGTTGGCTGGGATCTGCCCATTGCTGCTCTGGGACAGGCTGGGCATCAGTCACCAGGTGGTGGGCAGTTGTATTGCGCCTCACTTGTTTCTCCTGAGTTTTGTTCCTCTCTCTCTCTCTCCTTTTCATTTCAAGTATTATTATATTTTACATTGTTTCAATTATTAAACTGTTCTTATCTCAACCCATAAGTTTTACTTTTTATTCTAATTCTCCTCCTCACCCTACTTGGGAGCAAGGAGTACTTCGTTGCTGGTCGGGGTTAAACCATGATACCAGCAAAACAAAGAGGAGTCAAAGAATAGAGGAGGCAATAGAACAAAGCCTGGAATAGCAAAACTGAAACAAAGTGAATAGAAATAAGTAATAGCCTAAGCCTAAGTTAAGTCAGTATTTAAGTTGTAGCCCTACTGAAAAAGGCAACAAACGCAGTTTGTACTTTCTGTCACTGCTCTACTGGGTAATTGCTGCGCACGTACGGACTGGGCAGGTAGAACCTATACAGTTGCTGGCTTGTCACAGTTCTGCTCTCTCTTACCAAAAGCTGGTGTCATGGGGACGTGGGAGAGCTGGAGTTTTTGCAGTAGGATTTAAGGGACTAAGGGAAAGCTCCATAGGAAACCAGACTTTAATAGTGCTACTGCTCACAGAACACAGCTCACAGCTTGTTTATTTTACATGAAAGAAAAAGGTGCAAGAAGGAAGAGAGCTGAGTGGATGAACCTAAGGAAAACAGTTTCCTGATTCAGTATTTCCTCCATCACGCTATATCAAGTTATTTTTTTTACGGTCTGTGAAAACTTAAGTCACCCCACAGGTTGGTGACAGGAATTCTTAAAAAGCTATAATCTCACAGAAAAAACTAAGCATAAGCAAAGAAACTTCTTTCATCACATACATACATCACATAGATATTATAATGTCTAGGTCTACTAGAAGAGAACAGCTGCTTCAGAAGTTCCTTAAATAAAACATAAATTAAGAAAAGAGAAAAAGAAATAAAGTCAGGAAGTTGACATCCTAACAAAGATACTGAAAACTGGCAACTTTGCTCCATGAAACAACTCTGAAAACATATAAAATAAAATAGACTATAATGGGATAGACTCTATCTACTAATCTATTTTACTTACATAGCTATTGTACCATTCCAAACCATTAAGCTGCTTTGGACAGCTGCTGAAATGAAATTCTTGGGACTAAATATTAGGGCTCTCTCTTAGCCTCAATTCTACCAAAAAATGGGATGAAATGCAGTCCCACCAGCAACTTGTAAGATCCAATAGCTTATGACCCTTGAAAAACCAAAATCAGAGACTCCACGTGACCAGAAACGGCTGATTCTACCTTCTGCTGACGCATGTAAATCTTATTTCTAGCTTTGAAAAGCTGTGAGAATCTCAGACAAAAAAATCATTAAGTGTTTGTGTGTAGAAAATTCCTTTAATTAGAGACACTGGATACTTTGGAAACTAAGTTCAAAAAGTTAAACAATGTTACTAGGACTTCTGGATTCCAGGTGCTAAGTATCTAGCTACATAGGTTGGCAGACACAACTGATGTCAGTAAATATCTAAAACATTTCCAAATATGACTTCATATATATTAAAAAATTATGTACTAGAATAAAAGCTCATTTTTCATGGATGGAGTCACAGCAAACTTAAGTATCACTTTCATACCACACTATCATTTATTTCTATTATTTTTACTGTGGTAGCACCTGAGATCCCCAGTCATAAGCTGAAAAAATAGGTCCTACACTGAGAAGAATATATCAGTCTTCTCTTCCCCTAATCATATTCCTAATATTTTTTTCCTACACATACACACTGTAACCATGTCCTTTCTGTGAAGAAGCCAGGATTATGATCTAGGATGCATAAAAGAACCCAAGAATTGGTGTGAGCAGTTTTATGCACTTACTACACAGAAGAGTTCTTGAAGATTCTTCTCAAGAATTCTTCTCATGCTTAGCCTGCTTGCTTCAATATTACAGCCCACTAGCAATTAGGTGAACAGAAAGTACTCTGAGATGTCAGAGAACTTAGTATGCTGGGAAGTTGCAGCAAAACACCACCATATATTTATATTCACCTCTTTTTCTTTATGCATATTAATCACCCTCTGGCAGCTCACTGACTCCTCTGCAGAATACGAGAAAGGACTCTCACAAGCCCACAGAATTTCCATTTCAAGGCTAAGAGATCCTTCCAGGACATATGCCCAGGATATAATTTAGTAGGTATGAATCTGTGTTGAAATTAAAGTAGTTTATGGTGTATAACTCATCCAGTAAACAGGATTGATTTATGTGGGTGCCTGAGGACAGCTGCAGAGTAAATTCTAAGAAACGAAGAATGGAAAGCTTCTCCCACTCTTACAGGTGCCTAGCCTCCAAGACACTTGCAGTAAGGAAGCATTTTATCCTATTTATCTTCCCCTGGCATGACTCAATTCACAATTTGCCTTAAAAGAAATCAGTGTTCTAAGTATTTGTCCTCTCACACAAACCTTTATAGCTTTAAGATAACAGAAATATCTCTCAAGCACTTTGTGCTGCTTTCTTTTAAAGACTATAAGGTGTGTGCTGTGATCTGCTGGAAGAATATCTTGAAAAAGAAATTACATAAGTTAAGAAGTGCACACATGTTCATAAGTATGTTATATATATATATTATTTTGCTTGCACACACCTAAACAGACACCCAAACTCCAATCAGTTGCAAAGAAGCCCTTCAGGTTGGCATGTATGAGCAGCATCTTCGGTCCATCAAATATTTCTTTTAGGCATAAGAAAATGCAGAGAGAATGTTATGGTGGAAGACTTAACTGAAATGTTAAGGTTACACTAACCAAACCCAAAGAAAATAGCAAACTGTGGTCACAGTGTGAGAATTAATTACATGTACCAATGCCAACAGAATTACTACCAGAAATAGTCAAGAACTGAAAAAAAGAAAATTTATGTATCCAACTTAAATTGTAGGTAAAGCTTCAAGCATAGTCAGTAATTAACAGCATTGGAAATCTATCATAATTCTGTCCTTTTCATCCAGTGTTTGAGGGTGAAAGAAAGGCACTGGAACAACCCACACTAGTCACAACAGGTTTATATTTCATTTGAATAACAGAACCAGCAGTAAACAGTTTTCCTCTTCTTCAAATGTTAGGTTTTCCTCACGGAGCTTCCATTAATGTTGCAGGCCTGACCCTGTCTACCTTGAGACTTGAAATCACTAGTTAATTAGGTGTATATTCCAAATATGAATCAGTTCTATACAGAAATTGTGTTTTAATCAGATTAAAAAAATCCCACCTCTTTGGGTGCTTCCCCCCCCCCAACGTTTTAATACAAATGAAGAGTTATCATGGATCATCCAGCAAATGAGCAAAACAATCTATTAGTAAAAATTCACAGTACTTTGCCAAAATTTCTCCTGTCGAATTTTATATACCAATACACGGAAACGTATTTTAAAAAAATATAGGATATTAGACTATATATACACAGAGATACATTTCAAGCGGGTCATCCCGCTACCTATGGAGGACATCCAAAGCACTTTGTGCACGCAAGGTAATGGATGCAGGTTGTTATTCCGAACGACTGCCTGAAATCCACCAAAAATAAGCATAATACAGGAATCCTACCAGACTCTCCCGCACCCGAACTTCTCAAACATTAACTCGAGCCTTGTGTGTTTTTGGGGTTTTTTTAATCTCCACGCTAGCTCCTCTTCTGCTGGAAGGAGAAAGGAGAGCAGGTCCCGACTCCACAAAGGCGGCCGCTCCACCCTGGGCGGGCGCGGAGGCTGCGGCGGGATCCAGGCGCATCCGCGGCGGGGGCGGCGGGCGCTGCTGTCACCCCGCGCCCGCGGGGACCGGCGCCGGCGGCGGGGAACAGCCCACCCTGCGGCCCCGCTAGCTCCCTCCGCCTAACAAAGCGCCTCTCCCGGCTCCCTCCCTCCCTCCGTCCCTCCTTCCCCGCCTCCCTCACCTCCCCGCCCGCAGGTCGCCGCCACCGCTCCCTCCAGCTCCCCGCAAACCCCGCGCTGGATTCCCGCCCCGCCGCAGCGCGGGCGGCGCGGCACCAGCCTCTCCCGCGGGACACGCCGCCTCTCCCGCACTGGGAGACACATCCCGGGGAACCCCGAGCCTGCAGGTGCGGCGGCGCTGCGGGGAGGCGGGTGCGGGGCGTGCGTGTCCGTGTGTTCGTGTGTGTGTTGTGGGGAGCGGCGTGCGAACACCCAGCGGCCGCCGGGAAGCGGGTGGACAGCCCCGCCTGCACCGGGCGCGGGCGGAGCTCCCGGGACGCACGCCCCTAGCACGGCGTCCCCCATCCCGCATCCCCGTCTCCATCGCACACCCTCATCCCGCTCCGCTCCGAAGCGCGGGATGGGTTCCCCGCCCCGGTGCGGCGGCCGCGGACCCAGCTCGGGCTTTACCTCCGACAGCGCCCGGCGCTGCGACGCTAGTCCTGCGCGGCAGCGCCCCCAGCGGCGGCCGCGGGCAGCGCGCCGGGGGAGCCGCGGCCGCTCCTCCGCCGCGCCTCGTCCCCGCCCGCCGGCGCCGAGATCCTGGTGCCCGGCGCCGCGCCGAGCCGTGACCCGGCACCGCGGGGCTCCCGCGCCCGGCGTGACGCGGCTCCTGCCCGCGGAGAGCCGCGGGAGCGGCGAGGAGTCACCCCCCGGCCGAGCGGCCGGCGGGCAGGAGCCGGTGCGGCGGCGGGGAGCGACGCCTGCCTCGGCTCCTCCGGGTACCGCCCGCTCCCGGGCCGCCGCCGTGACCTGGATTTCCCCGGCTCCGTGTGGCAGCAGGTGTCCGTGTTCTCCCCGGTGGGGCTGGAAGTGCCGGCAAGGACACGCTCACGCCTGGCTCTGCTCTTCGCGTAGGGTTTGGAGCTTCGGGCCGTCCCTCTCTCCTCTCTTTCTCCTTCCCTCTCTCCTTTCCTCCCTCGCCCCCGCGGCCCGGGTGGGACCGTGCGTCTCTTCCCAAAACCCGCTGTGTTCCCCTTGTGCCAGGAACATGGTCCGGGCGCTCCGTGCTGGCTGCTCCCTCTGTGTGTGTCATCTGTCCCAGCCCATACGCGCAATTCTATCCCAGGAAAGAAGGGGGAAGCTCTAAATGGTCCGGATTAGTTCTGTTTCAGGGCAATGTGCGTAATCTTCTGGCGGCTTTTATGTTTCCCGAGGGAAACCTGGAGAACAATTGTTTCTTTCCACGCTGTACTTTTGCTCCCAAGTTAAAAATAGGATCATTAGCCTGGAGATTTAAGGGTAGAGTGTAACTGAAGGCAAGGCACAAATTCCTTAAATAGGCGGAACAAAAATAAAAATGATTTTGTGAAGCTAAAACAATAGTTTGCAATCTTTCTGCAATTTTCCCAGTTTTTTAATCGTCTAAAGACTGAATATGGACCCTGAAACTGAGATAAAGAAGCAAGTAAACCCTTTCTACTGCAATGTAAGTATTCCTAATTTAAAATTGTAACTAATACAAAATAATTGTGGTGGAACAAAGTTGTACTAAACCAAGTGTGAACGTTTTTGGTTTCTTTTTCCTCTTGAGCAAAATTGATAAATAGCTCTGGAGTTGAAGTTGTTTTGCTGTCTTTGACTTGGATGTGTGTTAAGAACCAACTTATTAAAATGAATAATTTTAATAATATTGTATTTCTAAATAAGAGCATTCTTTTTAAAGTGGAAGATTAAACTGCAGCTCCTGTTCAGAAAAAAAAAATCCTAGTTTCTCTGGTTGTCAGATTTATTGCTATTGTTTTTAAGCATCTCGGGTTTTTCAGAGGAGAAGAAAGTAATTTGGACTGCCGTTGTTCATTCACATGATTTTAAACCTAGTCTGCTCCCATTCTAAACTGGCCCAGGCATAAACCAGCTGTATGGAAAGCTTCCTGAGTGAGGCAGGCCCCAAACGGATCAGAGTAACTGTGTTAATCTGGATGCAACACTGAGAACTGGCTCATCTTAGACAGGTGTACTGACTTGTTACAATTATGCTGTGCTTCTGGCTCAGACTCGTTTAAGAGTGTATGAGGAAGACGTTGGATCTGTCTTTACTTATCCACACACACAGAGAAATGTTATGAGGTGGCTGCAGAGTTCTGGAGACATCTGATATTTTTATGTGATGTGGAGATTCCTGTTCATTCCACTGTCTCGCAGGCTCATAAAGAAAAGTTCTGGGAGGCTGGTTTAGTTTGTCTTTGGAGGAATAGTACTTTCGTAGAACTTACCTATACTGACAGTTTGATAGTAGATCTGTTTTGATATCAGTGGTGTTCTATTTCTTTTTGTTTGTGTGCAATGCTGGAAATAATTCTCTTTGATCTAGATTTGCAAAATCTGGTGTGCTTCTGCATTAAACTTGCAGACTCACTTCCTTGGATTCAAACACAAGACGGTAAGATCAGTTTTTGAATGAACCTTTTTTCAGATTTTACAGATTTATTTAGCAATAGAATATGGGTTTGAAATCTAGTTTTTAATGTAGTCGTAAAACATACAGTTTTTACATATTTTACATATTTACATATTTAACTAGTTTTGCTGCTTTACTCTCTTGTTTATTGCAATAAAGTAGAACTTGGTTTTGTACATTAGTTCTGTCAGAACTAATGTAACAACAACTAATGTTGTAACAACATTTTCTGTCTAGTAAAGACAATACATGAGAATACGTGGCTGTTAATAAACGTAGAATGGAATTACTTAAATAATAGACAATCTCAGAAAAAAGGGCATTTGTCTTTTTCAAATTTCTGTTCACCTGAGATAGTCTATGGTGCTGGCGTTTATCTAACTTATTTTATAAATAATAAAAGCTTTTCATTGTTGTTTTTTGAATCTTAAGTATCTTTCTTCCTTGTTGGTTGATGACTTGGTAACTTAGGTTGAAGAAGCACTGAAAGCTCATGGCATTGGTAAGTGCAAGATTTTTTACTTCCTGCTGTGTTTTATGTAGGCATCTTTCTCCCTGCCCCAATGTCATTGTTTACGAAACAAACAAGAAAAAGACTTTCTCAAGATTGTACTTTAAGACCTGTCTTGTGTTCTTTAATGACATAACTGTCTAATGTTACATAAATCAATCAATAATATGAGCAAGAGGTATGCAAAGTTGATTAATAAGCACTAGCTAAAATACTAAAAATCACCTACATTAAAGTTTTGAGAAACCTTAAAGAATTCAAGACCTTAGATACCTTCAAGATTTAATAAATATTTTTAAAAACTATGCTTCTTAAAGCACATAGAAATGTATATACTTTATTTTTAAAAGAGATTATCAAAAATTTCTTAGATTATTTTAAATATCTTAATTAGTTGAAGCATAGTCCTTTTAATAGGTTTATTGTATCATTAAACCTTCCGTGGGTCATTATGAACTGGTCTAGTTCCAGAAGGAATGAAGATCCAACTATGCTCATAATTGTTTTCCTGCTTCGATTTCATGATGGAGCAAAATGTATTTATAGGTTTCTACAGTGCACTGCTCCTAGAATTTGGCTTGAAAGTCGCTGCCAAGTTATATGTAGTCATTGCACCTACCTAATCTGGGAATATTTTTTTGGACTGTAAAGGAAATTTAAGTGATTAAATATTTGGCAGCTGGATGCTGCTGAAATTAATGCCCTGAAATTACTGGATGCCCTGAAATGTTTAGAGACACTGAACTTGATTGATCTTCCTCTTTGCCTGCTTTGTTGAATTGCCTAACACTAAATAACTTTGTTATTGTTTGGTGTGAATGTTTTTTGTCCATCTTTTGCCAAAAAAAATCTCATAGCACATTCAAAACTAAACATAGCTTAGTTTTCTCATGTCAAAAAGCTCAAATAGTTTTCTTTAAAAAAAGTCTGTTATCATACCAAGTTGGTTTTTGTACTAACAATTTTATTTCCATTTCTGGGGTGGGGTTTTTTTCTGTTGTTGCTTGTTTGTTTGTTTTGTTTGGGATTTTTTGTTGTTTGTTTTTTTTTTTTTAGTTAAAACAGCCAGTGGCTCTGGGGAGCAAGTGAAAACACCTGTAAAACTTCCTGATTATGGTAAGAACATTTAATGCCCACCACCCCCCCCCCAAAAAAGGAAGAAATAAAAGATGTTGAGGTACAATATTACAAGTGGTGTCTAGACCTTAGCAGATCATTGGGAATTAGTTTCTGTTCATCGTATTTTCCATTTTAAGTAATATTTAAGTAATTAAGTAATACTTAAGACAATATTTGCAAGCTAAATGCTTTAAAAAGAGTGAAAATAGGATTGGGGGGATAATGTTTTATAATAATTGACTTAATTTGTGATGTGGGACCATGTCTGAGCAGGGATTCACTTGAATGCGAATTTCTTGCAGTGCACGCTGAGCCAGAGAGGTTTCATGGACAGACATTGGAAGAACAGCTTAATACATGTAAAGATTCAGAACCTGCACTTGGTGAGGGCTTTTAATACTGTAGTTGTTTGCTTGTGTGATATTTACCTTTAAAGAGAATGGATTAGTTTTTTAAAATGTAAAATTAGGTAATGTGTAATAAAATCTCATTATAGTTACACTGAGTAATCTTTTTCTTTAATGTCTCTTTTGGAACTAGCACTGATGATTTGTTTCCTAAGTTTTGTTTGTTTTTTTCTATTTATCCAGGGCTTAATTATATAATAGAGTACCGATCAAAAGACAATTTTCCTTTCCTCTATGAATGTCAACTGTGCTACTGTAAGACGGGACTGAATAACATGTTCATGCATGTTTGTGGTTCCAAGCATAGACTGGCATACCTGGTAAGTTCTTTTTGTTTGCTTTAATGGCATGATTTAAGGGGAGAATTTACTGGTCATGTTTTGATTAAAAAAAAACAAACACAAGATGTTATATGAGTTTTCCTGAAAATGTTTGTATTTGTATTGCAACTGTGATAAATAGACTTAAAATTCTTCTCACCAATAATGTGCATGTCTGTCCATTGCTTGACACTGAGTTTTTAGTTTATTCTGTTTTGTTTAACCAGTAATGCCAATAATGAAATCTATAGTTAAAATTGACTACAAGTAGGCTTTTGACCAATTTTTGTAATATCTAAAAGAAAGGGATCAATGAAGAAACTGTTCCATCTTTCAGATGCTTTAAAAGGAACATAATTATAAACAAACATGATACATATTAGATGGAGTTTGTGACTTGGAATCAGGGGAAAAAAACCCAACTTGTATTCTCAGTTTTGAGACTGGACAGTCTGTTGCCTGTTTTATGACAATCTGCAAAGTTCTCAAGGTTCACGTCAGCCCATAAACATTAAAACACACTAATTTTTTCAGCATGTTTAGAGAAATGAGGCTGTCCAGTCTTTGAATGTTTACTTGAGTGTATTTCTTTAGGATGGGCTTAAACCAAAACTGAGAAAGCAATATTCTGAAAGGTATCTTGATACTTTCCAATAGAAATTGCTCAAAGTTGATATTATATCCCACATATCTTAAAGTCATAGAAACCCGAGTTTCAAGGCATTCAAGGCAGTTTTAGAGCTAAAGTTATTGGGTGTACTGTGATGAATCTGCAGTGATGTCTTTCATAAATATCATGCTGTTTCTGGTCATTAATTCAAATGTACATGCTGAATTTTGATGTTCTCAGCTATCGTATTTCTTGTTTACTTTGAATTGTTTCCTGCAGTTCTTATGCTTATTCACTGCATCTCTGCTATATTCTTAAATACTATAAAAGTATAATAATTCAACAAAGATAACTTTTAAGTCATGCACCTGAGATAAATTAACCCTAGGCAAAGGAAAAGGCAGGAGACTAAATGACTAGAATTTGCTCTGCTGAAAAGGAGCTGGGGGTCCTGGTGGATAACAAGCTGAAGATAAGTAGTGTACCTTGGCATAAATGAAGGTTAACAGCAAGCTAACCTAAGATAAGCTAAGCAAGGGCATAGCCAGTAGATCAAAAGAAGGATTATTTCCCTGTCCTTGATACTTGCTAGGCCATATCCAGAATATTGTGTCCAGTTTTGTGCTACTGCAGACAGAAAGCTGTTGATGAATTTGAACAAGTCCACTGGAGAGCTGCCAAGGTGGTCAGGGGGCTGAAGCACACTTGTGCTATGAGGAGAAGTTAAGGTAACTGGCTTCATTCAGGCTGGAGAAGAAGAAGTGTCAGGGCCGTCCAGTACCTCAGGGCAGGTTACTAAGAAGGAAGAACCAGACCTTTTATGGAGATGTTTGGCAGGAAAATAAATTCAAACAGGGGATTTTCCTACTGGACGTACAGGGGTTTTTTGCTGTGAGGGCAGTCAAGCACTGGAGCAGGGTGTCCAGAGGGATGGGGGAATCTCTTTTTGCAGAGGTTTTTAAGACCCAAGTGGACAAAGCCCCGTGCAACCAGTTCAGCAATTAGTGCCAACCCTGTTTTGATCTGAAGATTTGGCTCCAGGCCCTTAAATTATTCTGTGATTCTATGCATAATCATTGTAATAAGTTCTGCTATGTATATGTGAAAGTTGATTTATCTCCCATGATTATTAACTCTGCTAGATCTGGAAGGAGTTGTGTGACTTAAGGATTTGCGTTTCCTTATTTTCTAGAAACAACATTATCCTGAGATAGCAGAATCTGATGAAATTAAGGGTAAAGGCTCTGAACTGAACAGAAAAGTTAGGCAAGTTGCATTAACAATTGAGAAGAAAGAAGGAAGAAAACAAATAAAGGTACACTTCTCAGAAGCTTCATATTTAATAAACAGAGAAAGTAATTTTTTCTGTTACAGTGGGCAGATTTGCTTTGTATGGTAGGAAAATCTTGCCATTTTAACCTTTATTACAGGTGCTTTTAGTAATTTTAGTAATTCCTCCAGGATTATTCTGGACACAATTTCCCATTGGTCACTGCCATCGTAAGTATTTCTCTTGTTTGAGATAATACTTATGCTACCTGGGTTTATAGAAGTAGGATTCTAGAGTGCACAAATAACGAAAAATATATATACTCATATAATCAATTCTCAGCTCTCTGTGTGTGTGTGTGTGTGTGTAAAATAACTTGCCTTACTTGGAAAGCTTGGAAAGTAGCTTTATGATTTTTCTCAATCAGTTTCTGCTTTGTTAGCACCTCATGGCAATTCTCTGGGGAGTCGTAAAATTTCTGATAGTACAGAGGCAAGTATGGGAATTTGCAGGTTGATATGAGATTAGAAGCAGTGCCATGGGATCTCAGGAGCACCATAAACTTCAATTCTTGAGGAGCTGCACCCTTAGAAGCATGTTTATGTGAAGATATCTTCATACTGCTTTCTGTTGATATTTACACCACAGTAGTATTTATAACAGGCAAAACTGCACTTGAGGTGTACCTTACCACACTGATTCATGACGAGCTTATTGAGGTGCCCAGTGTTCTTTATGGTATACATTAAATTTGTTTTCTCCATCACCTTCAATGTCTGTCAGCATCCCGCTTGATAAGCAGCATTTCTTGACAAGATCCCTTGCTAATGCTTCTTAATGTGCGTAGATGTCTCTTTTCAAAGGGGAGTTCACAAGGTTCCTGTGTTAAAGCTGGCTGTGTCCTGCCCATCTGAAAAGAGACCCGTGTTTCTTTCTGGGTGATACTATCAGGCCTAGGCTCAAAGATGAGAGCCTGCACTCATACTACTCTTTTTTGAAGAAAAACAAGTACAGGAGTATTGGAAGATCAAGTCAAGAACGAACGCTTTAGAAAGGGAGAGATTCAGATTATCAGATGTGTTCTATCTTTCATTTTTAACTTCTGCTTACAAAGAAGACGAAAACTGACTATCGGCAGCAACTTTTTCATTTGACCTACTTAAATTTCTTCTTGACTCAAGACTGTTTCATTTACTTGAGATTTATGTCCATGGATATAGAAATAATCAGTACCATCTATATTTTGTAGACTTTTCTGTTTTTCATGGTAGTTTCATTACATCCATAGCAAATCCATTCTTGATTTAAGGAACTTTTAAACAGAGCATGTATAACTTGGTTTAATTTTACTCCTGTATCTTCTGAAACCAGCTGTTAGATTTTTTTAATTTATTTTTTTTTAAGATCCAACAGAAATTTAATTGTGGTAAACAAGTGTTCAGGTAACTAACTTTCTGCTTTTTAGAATATCCATTAAGGGATTTACATGTATGTATTTTACACTACTTGTTATATATTCTTTAAAAAAAATTAAGCCTGATGGAATACCTATGGAATAATTTTATCCACAGAATAACTAATGGGTTTTATTTTTAGGTTGTTACAGATGCTCCAACAATGAGGAGGAGATGGCAAGAATGTAAGTGTGCTCAGTGGGATGTAAATTGTCCATTTCTAATTTGAGTAAACTCCTTTGATCTAAATCAGCTTGATTTAAGGATGAATTGAAATATTTGGTCAGCAATTGTGTACATTTATGTTCTAAGCTGCATTTTGGACAGTTTATATTGAAAATCTGATGGATGAAGAAGTTATTTCATTGTCCCCATAACTGGAGAGGACTGTTTTACATGGCTTTGTTCTCTCTCCATTTTTCCATTGTAGTTGCCTTCACTTCCCAGGGTCCTTTACCTATGATTTCTTTTTGTCTGGTAACTAATGTAGTCTCTGCACTGCCAGCTGCTCAGCAGCATTTTGGTGAATTGGGCAAAAGGAGCAGGTTGGAGCTCTATATATGTGCAATACAGAAAGCCACACAGAATTCTTAAGGCATAGCTATAGATGTTATCTGTGGAAGAAAACTCTCTGTTTTACTAGCCATTGATACTCACAAAATTGTAGGAATGTGGTATCTGTGAGAGTTTCCCACTCAGTTTAATCTTTTAAAACTCATTGTAGTACAATGATGGACAGACAGTATGGTTGCATGCCACTTCAGGAAATGGCTAAAAATTGCTACAAGACCCTCATTCTTAGACCTGGATAAAAAATAAAGATTTGAATTAAACTAATGTACTTAATTTTAAGGTATATTAGTATGTAAATGGTATCTTAAAATAACTCAATAGAAGTAATGAGATGATTTAGATTAGCAGTGTCATACTCTGAAGAGGAAAAATAGCAATTTTGAATCTAGGAAAGTGGTTTGAAATAAGTTGAATCCTATTCAAACTACATTTCTTGACTGTAACCTGATGGTTAATGTGTCTGATTTTGCAGGTGACTGTGCATTTATAATATTTACATATTTTAAGAAATGTGTGGATGTAACTATAACCAGGGTATAAAATATTCAAAACTTTGTTACTAATTTGTGGTTCATATTTAATATACTGTCACATAATAATGCTTATAAAATTATTCTTTGTGTTTGTAACTACTATTGCACAGAAACAGAGCTAGTTGAAATTGAAGTGCAGTTTTAGAACCCTCCTTATCAAGATCATGTCCATTATGCTACATTTCAAGCATGTTTGTTTAGATTTTAATGCAGATGACAGCCCTTCAAAAGCTAAAGTTCAGTATGTGGATGCATCGCTTAGTAATGCAGAAAAAGCAGACAGTAAAAATACAGATGGGAAACTGCCAGACCCCATTCAAGGTAAGAGGAAAAATTATTTTTTTATTACCTTTTTTTTAACTTTCACCAGTGCATGAATTATTTACTCTGTATGTGCCTATTTATAACTTCCACTATTGAGGTATAGAAGATGAATTTGCACAGTGTGTGGATGGGCTTGGGGTCTTTGGCAGAGGAAAGAATAATCTCAGTGTTTGCAAAGAAAACAGTCCTGTTTTACTTAACATTGCTGGATACTTTAGAACAGAAACAATACAAAAGTCACAATTAGAAATTTTTACTGTGCGTATTTTTGGAGGGTGGGCACAGACTCTTTTTGGGCATATAAACTGTTTTTTGATGTCAAGAAAAAAATAGAAACAGCTGCATGCCAGACTGTTTAGAGCACAAGAAGAATAAAAAGGAAATAGGATTTTCTCTTTTTTTTTTGAATGACATCTAAAACATTTGACTAATGCTTATTGTCTTGAAATCAGAGCCAGATATAAATATAAAAATCAGTGAACACCATATAACTGAAGAAGCATCAGAAGTTGCTACTTGGTTATAGACCTAATGTCAAAAGTGAGATTAGGATTCTGTCTAACTGCATTATAATTGCTCTCATTCAGAATATTTCTGATCAGAAATACAAACTTGTGGTTCATGATTGAACCAAATCTTTGATTTTTAGGCTCAATTTTTATTTTATTTCTTCACAAGATATCTTACTTTCACCTTCAGGTTTTATTGATGCTATCTTTAAAAAATATCCTAAACAAATAGTCCTTTTAAATTAAAATATTAGGAAAACATCACTTAATATACTGTTTTTATTGTTTTAGATGGAAATAATGTTCAAGAGGAGAAGGAAAAAAGTCAGAAAGGACAAGCAAAACCAGATGAGGAGGTTGAACCTAATAAGGCTATTGAAAGCAGCAAAGGCAACAACTCGGAAAGGTAAAAGAAACAAAAGAATCCACCGCCTCCAAAACCCTTTAAATTTACTTAAAGAAAAATGTTGTAGATGATAACTTTCTACATTGGATTTGCATAATAGTAAAATCCTTTTCTGCTCAGCTGTAAACTTCTCTCATCAACAGAAAACCTGGTGTACGTAAAGTTACCTCACATTTTGCTCTGGATGCAACTGGGCTACGTATTTAACTATGTTATCCTTAAGGTATAATCATCATGTGCTGCTCAAAACATTCAAAAAGAATGTTTCCTCATGGTTTAAAACCACCTCTGTTATGGGTTTGTCAGAAAATTAGGGTGGTGTATGAACTGATTTTGGAAGGGAAAGATAATCAGTAGATAGCTGTAACAACTGGGGTTCATCTTTACAAAAGATTTCATGGAGGGACAATAAGAAATATTGTGTTCTAAAGTGGTGAAACTGTGGTTGCTGCTTGTAAGCATCTTATTAATAACAGTATTGTGAGTTCATTTTAAACTATCAGCCTTCTTGTGAGGAGGATATCTCCAACATCAGTCATCTTTGTGTAATAGAAGGAGCCACAGGAAAGCATCCAATAAGGTATATACATGCATCAAGCCAAACATAAGACTTCTGTTCCAACAATTAGTTCTTTGGTTTTGCTCTTAATGATGTTCTCTTCGATATTTTTTAACTTTAACCAGTAATATCTCTCCCAGACGTGGAGGGCTAACACCTTTGTCTTGTTGACTGTTACCCAGTAAAATGTTGTTCCTGAAATATATTTTTGAAGAACTTTTGCTTCTTTCTGGTGTAACCATTATGGAAAAGGATCAATTGAAATGACATTCAAGTCCAGGTTTATGAGTCTTTGTGTTTATTTATCTGGCTTTCAAATAAGTTTAACAAGTCTGAATCTGGAAAGTACACTAGTATGTGAAAACTTTAAAAATAGGGAACTAATAAAAGCTCAGCTATGCACATCTGGAAATGCTGCTGTCTATTTCTACCCAATACTGGTCCTCATTGTGCAGTCCTGTACTTTAAATTTTAAGAACAGCATCCTTTGGAAAATCAGTCAATGTTATTCTTTTAATCTGTTTCAGATAGATCCTGAGTAACTATGAGCAGCCAGGGGTTTCAGTGAAAGACTGATTTGGAAGTCAGTTACTAAATTAGGATTTCAGCTGGTTCCTTTACTGTTTATTTTTGTGAGACTATTGAGAGATGTGAACTCAATATATAGTTTCTTAAAAGGAATAAGATCAGATTCTCATCAACAGCAAGCTGTCAAATGGTGCTTCCACTTAAAGATTCTGCAATATCTGTCGGAGAATTTCTGACTCCTTATTTCTTTGCAGTTAAGTTCTGAACAGTCATCTGAAGGTGGAAATTATTTTATAGTCATCTGTTTTTACTACACTTTTGATTCCTAAGAAAGATTTCAAGAAAGAGGAGAGCTTAGGCTTGGCAGTCATGTGTTTTTGGTTCATTTAAGAAACATTCAGCCACCCTCAGACCTGGTTCCTGGGCTCACAAAGGGGTGGAATGTATCTATAGTAGTTGTAATTGCAGAACAGCACAAATATGGGTTAGTAACATTTATCCAGTATTTGTGGGGCTACATTGTAAAACATTTCTTTTTATGGATGAATTTTTGTAAAGGCAAGTTTGTGAAGTGCTGATAAAAATCATACTGTAATTAGGAGCCTTGTCTTTCTGCAATGTGTACAAAAATCTTACAGCTATTACTACCAATGTCAAACTTTTTTATTAACTCTAGGTTTTTAAACTTATGTGCTAGCTAATCACACTAAAAAAAAAAGGCAAAAAATGCATAAGTAATTTTTATTATGATATCTGGGACCACTGGGATTTCTCTACGGAAATAGCTGACCTTTCTTTTAGAGTGTGTTAGAACTACTATAGTAGTAGTGTGTCAGGAATTTAAACTGATTATCAGTTATTGGCTGGCTACACATTTTTACTGGATCAATCAACTGAATGTTTTATTTATTCTATTTTAAGGTGTGAAACCAATAAACAATCGCAGGAAGAAAACAAGGGAGTTGAGGTGAATATTTTTCTCTAATGGGTTGCTCCAGTTTTCAAATAGTTGAGAAAATAATTAATATATGATTGGCAGTGGTGCTTAATTATTCAAATTAACAATATTATTGACAATAAATTAGCTACAAGTTATTAAGCCAAAACTATTAACAACAAGGCTTTTTCCTACTTTGTTATGAAAGCCTATGTACACATTTCATATAAGCACAATCAATTAGAGCAAGAATTTTAGAGTAACCATAATTGTTGCTGCTTAATTATATTTACTGCACATAATAGATCTCTGGACTTCTTTTTTTTATGTTAAACAGCAACAACTTACAGCAAATCCTGAAGAATTCACTAGTCAAGAAGAACTTTTGGGTTATTTGGTGAGTGTTAAATCTTACCTTGCAATGTATTTTTGGAAAAAAAAAAATAAATCACTGATCTGCTAAATCTAAAATTTAGGCAGTCTGGTAATCCAACAACATATTTTGTCAGAAGGCAGGATTCAGAATAAAAGGAATGTCTCTGAATTTTTAATATATCTATTCATTCTCAAGTTTCTAGATGTAGTTTTTGCCAAGTACTAGTTTGCTGTCAGAGGAATGACTTGCCCTAATGAAAATTAATACATTTTTCTCAACTGTAGCTTAACTTCACTCCTTAACTACATGCTTAAGTAAAATGACTTTTTAATTTTTTTTCTCCTTTTTTTTCATAACTGGTCTGTGATTTTCAAATGAGGAATTTGGAAAGATGTAATTCAATAATGGAAGGAAGCAGAATGAAGATAAATATATGAAATATGCAGAAAGGAAAAAAGCAATTTTTAAGAAATAAAATGCAAGTTGTATATTTAAACCAAACCCTCCCCTCACCCAAACCCCATAAACTACAAAAACCTGCCGATTCCCTCTTTCTGTAAAGTAAGTGGTAGAACACCAGAATTCTGTTCAGTTGTTGAAAATATGTATTATGTACACATTCACAGAAGTGATACAAGCAATAAGAGTGGAAAACTAGCAGTTGCCAGTTGTTAGATGTATCAACAACATTCAGGTCTCGCATACAGAAACCTGATTTTAATAAAAGCACCAGTGACAAACTACGAAAATCTTTACTGGTAGCTGTCGTAGGGTATCTGTTGGTAGGTCTTGGTCCATGGGGGAAAGAAAGACACACATGACGCACAACAGGGTGATGAGACAGTGAGATGTCTGCCTGCTCAGTGTAGCAGGCAGCTTTTATTGAGATCGCTCCCTTCAACTTTCTCACGCATACAATACAAACGTATTCTTGCAAAAACATTTAGGCATGCAGCACCTGCACTCAGCCAAACAGCTTTAACCTTGTACTCTTTATAACTCAAGGCTGTGTCTATGGAAACTATCTAATTAGCTCCACTGTTCCCATGGAACACGGCCTAACACTTTGCAATACCTCAAACCTCTCAAGCTTCAATTGTGGGGCTGCGACTTCACCCCACAGGTAGCTGCTGTGTCTGAGCTACTGCATGGTAATTTAAGCACTACTAACTATCATAAAATCTTTTTTCCTCTTTTTTATGGGGAATTATTAGGTGTAAAGGTTGCACCTTGTTAATAAAACTGGAATTTGTTTTGAGGTATATTCTTGCTCAGTATGATTGTCCTCCAAGAATAAAAGGACTGTTGGGAACATGATTGGAACAATGTTCTGTTTTGGAAAGGTTTTTTTTGAAATTGTTTAATATTAGCATCTACAGTCATATACTGCACTATATGTTTCTATTACTGTTGGATTCAAAAGGCTTCTTATGTGGTGGATACAAAAAAGATGCAAGTGGTCTTTTTAGACTCTTTTTGGACTTGCTGTTCATATTGTGAAAAGTTATTCAAATATTATCCTTAGTGTATACTTTTTTAATTGTGAAAATCAGTATGCTGAGCATACTATGAAAATACTATGCTGAGATTTGTCATTAAAATAATCATATTTCTTGTATTACCTCAGCAAAGGTATATAATTGCCCAAATTTAATCTTTTTCCACCTAGCTTTTGACAAGATTTTCATTAAATAGAACTTGTGCAAACCAGGACAGATAAATACTGTTAGTGTTAAAAATATAACCCCTGTTATGCTGTCATATAACACACTTAATGCTAGTTTTTTATTACTTTTTTCCATTGTCTGGAGTGTCCGGAAGACTGGATTGTTAGGACAGACCTGTAGTTCTGTTACATTGTGCCCAATGCAAGTGTTTTCAGCAAAACTGAAAAGAGGATGACACATGTAGCCCTCTCTATGAGCACTGTTGGTCATACAACTTGCTCCCTACTAGAGCTTCATGGCTTCAAGACTGCTTTTTCTTTAGGCTTTTGGGGAAGAAGGTTGGTGTAAGGCAAGGCAACTTTTAAATTCAATAGCATTCTGGATTTTTGCTACTTTCTAGAGAAATGGGTTATGACTATATTGCCTCAGGGAATGTGTACACATTCATTTGTATGCAGGTATCTTGGGAAAAGATCAAAATACTTATAGAAAGGCATTATCTTCAATATATTTCCAGGCATATTCTTGGGTTGTTCCTCTTCAAAGGATTGTATTGGGTAGCAGCAGCTTTCTTCTGTTAGGATTCTCTTTCATTCCACTTCCCTACCCCCAATTTATGGGATTAAAAATAAAAACAGTATTTGCTTCATAATTTCAGCCATGTTTGACAGAAGGATAAAGACATAAAGAAAATGAGGCTCCTGCAGGTTTGTTTATAAATTGTGATCCTTCAGTCTTTCAGAGGGAAAATGTATGTTGGTTTATTTCTTTTTCTTTCCCCTAGCAAAGTTTTGAGATACTGAATGAAGATGATGCTTCATTTATCCTGAAAGTTACACAAACTCTTACAGATGCACTGGTGGAATATCGTCAGCAGAGTGCATCAAACAAAGTAATGTGGATTTTGTTTTGATTTTTTTCTACAAATCTGTAGATTCCTGTGATTATGCATTTTTATTATTATAGATAGTTCAATGAAACAAAATTGCTGTGGAGACAGTGTTGTAAGTTTTGTCTATTAAATATGCAAATTTTGCTAGTGATGATAGGATAAAATTTTAGCTTTTCTGTTGAGTAGTCTTAATAATTTCTATTCAAAGGTGCTTGCACTTTTCTTGTTTTTAATAAAAATCATCTTGTCTCTTGTTTCCCCATGCTTTTCCTTACATCTAAGTTTTTCTGCTATTTTTGCCCCTTTTAACTTAAGCTTTTCTCATCTCTGAGAAAGACAGTCTTGTTCTGTATCCTGTTTCTGTTCCCAGCTTTCACTTTGTTCACCACGTACTCAAGCATCATTGACATCAATTTTCTTTTTTATGCAACTTTTGGTCCTACTCTTTGGACTGTTCTCTTTGAGTTCTTCTTCCACTATTAGAAACCCAGTTTTTCCCCCTCTCTGCTATTATTTTTTACTGAGTTGTCTTTACATAGGTGGTACATATGGAGGTGTTTTGAGTACTTCTTTGAGGCTGCTGACATGTTACAAAACAATCAAGTTCTGACTGAAGTAACTTTTAACTCACTAGTTGTAGAAAACCAAAATGTTTTCCCACATTAGGCCTTGTTAGTATTCTAAACTGTGATCTTTCAACTGGTAATTTTTTAACTAAATCTTTTGAGTGTAAAATGCTATCTTTTTAGACCTGACAGGTTGAGAACTAGGCTCAATAAGTATCACTTCATCGCCTAATACAGAGCTTTTTCTGATGCAGAGAGATACCATGGGCAATGTATACACAGAAGTCCATTATCAGCCCTATGATTTTCAAAGAAATACTAGATTTTTCAGATTTGGTAGCTGAAATACTGGTGTTTTCCTTGGTTTGTGATAATTAAAAAATATACTAGTTCCTAATTTCAAGAGACTGTCCAGATGACATTCTGAAAACATCTTTCTTTTTTTTTCCAAACTCATAGGACCTCTTAGATGCTGAATATAATGGAGAAGCAGCATTGGAATGTTCCACAGAACAGTCTGACCTGACTTCAGCAGATGTTAGTGACTCTGATACTGGTAATGTTGGCTTTGCAATCTTTAATGTGCTTTGATCTTAACACTGAACCTTGCATAACATGAAACTTTTTTCCCCACTTCTCTAGAAGCAGAGTTTAAAGGCAGAATAAAGCCGGAGTCAAGTAGCATAAATTAATTGGTTTGGGGTGGTTTTTTTTCCCATCCTCTACAAATATTAGAAAGGGAAGACTATTAAAAACACTGATCCTACTTAACTGTAGGATTTGATGGAGAAACTCAGTTAGTGTCAACTCTGATTTTCTTCTGTTCAGAGGCAACTGTTTCTAAGGAAACTTTCAAAGTTTCTCTGGCTTTTTTTTCCTTCTCTCACAATATTTCTTTCCCTTCTTGTTGGAGAAGATGCTTACTGCAGGTCTAGTCAAATTGATAGGTTAGTGGAAAGAAAGTTATGTTGTATAGGATGGATAATTCTCTTTAATACCTGAATACTGCAGCTACTTGGCCTTAGAACTTCTGATTAAATTTTTCAAAGAGTCCTGGATTTCTCTGAGGTCAATTCCCTTTGATATAAACAAATGGCTATTTTTCTCAAATATAGGAATTACAGTCACGTGCTTGGAAAGGCAAGATACCCAAAATACTAGTGAGGTTATTTTGTATGATTTTTGCTGTATAGTGTCAATTTTCTGTTTTTTCTAGGAAGTTTGGCTTTTGAAAACCTCAGTTAATACAATGCTCATAACAAAAATCACAGTGACTTACAGCAGATGAGATTTGAAACTTTTACTCCCTTTTTGTAAGCATAATGCAAATAGCTTTCACCTGCCTCCCCACCCTTGCTTCTCCAGGATTTTCCATAAATGGAAAGCATTCCTGACTCTTGGTTGTTTGAAAATGTAGCAGTCAGATGTGAACCTTACCAGCAGTGCTGCTGTGCCAGACTGGAAATGCTTGTTTTGAAAAGCCCTATTTAAAGAAACTCATAATGAAGTCTCTTCAGAATCTTCTCTTACTGAAAAACAGTATTTCTCTTCTTTAAGACTATTCAAGCAGCCGATCAGCTAAACAGTCCTTACCAGTAAATGGAGAAGATGAACCCCAAAACTTTTCAACTGGCTCCTCAGACACAGCATATGAGAACAACGTCACAACTGAATTTTTGAACAGTGTGAGAAATATGAATGTTGAGGAAGTTACTGCTACTCTACACAAAATAGCAGCAGCAAATCCAGCTTTCAGAGGTAATTCACATATGCATGCATACACACACAAAAATTTATATAAAAATATACATAACATATTTTGTTAGCTCTGTGAAATAGTAGGGACTTAGATGGGTCAAAGAACTTTGAGGTATTAAGGAGGGCTGAAGAGACTTATTTTTTCCCCCCTTTGATTTTTGCAGGTTCCAGTTTAGGAATGGTAATTCAGGATGATTGCCTTCCCGTAAGGGCATCAGTAATTGCTGAATGTTTTGAAAATTCTTTTCTCATTTTTGCACAGTAATATTTGCATGATGAGAGACAGTAAACTAAAACCAAGCATATTGTTATTAGAAAAAAGTGGAATCATTTGCCTGTGCTATAAGTGGGAAACACTGGTTTTGTTAATACCAACAGCAAAGAAATTTTTACTAACAGTAAAAACTTTACAGTTCTTGAAGGAACTGTATTTGCACAGTAACATAGAAGTAACAGTGAATCAGAGACAAGTAGTCTTTCTTTTGCTTACAAGTTTCTAAAAAGTTTCAGCTATTAAACCTTCCCAATATCTTCAGTCAACCACTACCCTTTCTTCAGAAGTTTCCCATGTACATTTTTGAGCTTCTCAGAGTGTGTTTAGAGTCATAAAGGTTAAAAAAAGAACACTGAAGATGAGTACATTGTAGGGAAGTTGAAGATATTCTTTGCCTGAGTCCTCACTGTGTGGAAAGAACTGGAGAGACTGCGGTCTGTGCCATAACCACTCATGGGGTGTCTGTGTGTGCACACAACTTAGCAGAGTACCTGTTTGGAATGGAAGTTCTGGAACAAACTGGCAATATAAAACCATGGAAGTAGCAAACTGTTAGAACTCTTCTCTTCCAAACAAAATGTTGAAGTTTCTGGTGGTAGTAATTTCTCCCATGAATCTTCCTTTGGAACCTGAGAATTTGTGGGTGGCAAATATGATTCTCTTTTGTGGTTTTGTATTTTTTATAGGGGGTTTTTTTGTGTGTTGAATACAGCTGCTTGCTCACCCTCCCCCACCAGCCCCCCTGCAGCTGAGCAGGAAGGAGAACGGGGGGAACAAAAGTGAGAAAACTCATGGGTCATGATAAGGACAGTTTAATGAAGGGAAAGTGTAGGAGGGAACAAGTGATGCAAAGACAATCACTCGGCACATTCCACAAGCACACTGATGCCAAGCCAGTCTCTGACCAACAGCCACCTTGGGAGCCAACCCAACCTCCTTGCCTGCCCAGGTTTTATTGCTGAGCATGATGCATGGAATCCCTTTGGCCAGTTTGGGTCAGTTGTCCCAGCTGTGCCCTTACCAGTCTTTTTCCAATTCCCAGACAAATCACTGGAGGAGTGCAGAGTGAGAAAGAGAGAAAGCCTTGACGTTGTACAAGCATCCTTTGCAATAGCCAAAGTAGGGGTATGTTATCAACACTGTTTTGGCTACAAATCCAAAGCACAGCACCATACAGGCTGCTCTGAAGAAAGTTAACTCAATTCCAGACAAAGCTGGTACAGGGTTCCAGGTGATCTTTGTAAGTGTCAGCTTCTATTGAGCAGGTGAATAGAAACTGTTTAGAGAAACAAGGTAGGGATTAGTGGACACCTGGACAAATGCGATGTGCTTAGAGTGGCTAGTGGGGAATAAATATGGTTTTTGTGATAAGAAAAGCCTGCTTACAGACTTTCTGGAGTTGTTTGAAAGGGGTCAGCAAAGGAGTCAGATAAAAGTGATCCAGTTCATGTAGCCTGTTTAGAATTCCAAGAAGCTTTTGACTCTAATCAGAGGCTTTTAAGGGAACTAACTGGCTGTGGGAAAAGAGGAAAATCTTATATTGTTTAAATAATAAAGAGATAGCAAGTGGGCAATTATCTTTTACAATGAAAAGAGGTTCCAGAAGAGAATCGTGGACCTGTGCTGTTTCATATTTTTACAAATGACCTGGAAAAAGGCATGAGTGTCTGGATGACAAAATTTTGTCAAATGTGAACCAGTTAAAAGTGTTGGTTGACCTGAAAAATTTCAAAAGCTTCTCATCGGATCAGTAGAAGTACCACCTTGTCAGTCAGAAGAATATGTTCAATACAGGGAATTAAGGAAAGAATGGAAATAAAGAGGTGGGAAGTCATTTTGCTATTGCATAAACTCATGCTTTGCTTGTATCTGGCATAGGGCAAAGGGTTTCCCTTATTTCAGATAAAGGACTTCACTGCTGCAAAAGGTTTAGAGACAGCAATAAAATATGCGAATATCTTCCATATAAGTAGATGCAATAGAAAGCTATGACGCTTTTCGGCCTGGAAAAGAGATGACTAGGATGCTGTAACAGAGATTTGTAAAATCATGAGTGGATGGAGATGACAGACAGGACTGTGTTCTTTCCTATATAAACTTGGAGTAGTGTGGGACTCCAGCATGGACAAGAAAAGATGGTTCTTAGTGCAGTGGTAAGTGGATGATCTATGAAACTCCTAGCAGAAGGATACTGTGGATACAAAAATCTTACATGTTTCCTTGTTTTCCCTGTCTGGCCCAGACCGGGCAAGTGTTTGGAAGAGAGTACTAATGAAAAGTTTACCATATCAGACTTTCCTCAGAAAATTTCCTGAGCTGAAGACGATCTGAGATGAGGAGAACATGGTATTCCCACACCCTGCCAAGTGTCAGGCACAATTGTCCTGCTTTTACTCTTCCCTTAGCATTTGGTTATGGGTGCTGAATGTTTATTATTGCCACTTAAACAGTCCCTATGTTTCTTCTCCTCTCACCCTCCTGAAGTTATGGGCATTAGTTTCATCAAAGCGACATGGCCTTTTTGCTTGTGTTCAGAGGACACTTTAACTTATTGTTACAGCGACAAAATCAAGCACTTCTGGTCATGGTTTCCTGATTATCAGCTGCAGATCTTTCAAAGCAGGGGTAGAGGGGCAAGACAGACTCTTTAACTGAACCAGTACAGCTGTTCATAGCAATATCCAGTTACAGTTTCCAGGCACATTTTGGTTGTTTAACAGTTAAGGTATTTTTCATTTAATAAGGAAAGATCCAAACTCACCTCAGCATCTAAATGTTTCCATATAAATTGTGGGTTTAAATGAATTTTATAATAAAATGGCTTATTTTCTGGTTTTTTTTTTGGTTTTTTTGCCTTTAACTAAGGAATTGATATTCCGAATGTTATAAGGATCCTGGCTGAAAGTGGAACTTTGAGGAGGCCAAGCAACGGCAGCACACAGTGACACGGTGATTAACAGAGTTAATATAGCAATGTTTATTTCTGTAAGTTTGTTGTTTTACTTAATGAGAGCTTAACAGAGTTGATTTTATTATGTGTAGGTTTTGTACAGTGTTATTTTAATTAAGTTAATAACTTAGGTTTGAGGTTCTTGTTATTTATTTCTCCATGTAGCTGAAACTTCTATATTATGGAAAGGTTGTAAAGCTCCTGTTCTTTCTTTCCATGTAAAACATATTTTTAAAACAGGCAACTTGTGTTTTTCAATATCATTAAATACATCAAGTACATTGAGAGTCTGATCTTTTCTTATTGTTGGTTCTTTTACAAGGAGTTATCAGCAGAATTAACTACTGCAGTCAGCAGTACGAACTAATCCTACAGCGTATACTCAGAAGTTATTCCCTGTGGCTGCTGGGCCTCAAAATCTTTTGTAATCAAAACCCCTCTCCCCTATAAGTGTTATGAATAGGTCTCCACTTTTTTAAAAAATAAAGATTAAAAATAATAATAAAAAGTCAGTGCTGTCAGTCTAGTTCTGAGTTGAGAAGTGCCTGGATTATAGCAAATTTAGGGAGCCCAGATAAAGCCTGGAAGCTTTAACAAAGTCAAAAGAAGTTGGCTATGCTTGAAAATTCATGAATATGTCCCAAGAGATCTAACTAGACTCTGGTTAAGAGGCACTGATGTGGTAGCAAAAGTATCTTCTGTCATCTTTTATTCCACGAGTAGGAGAAAGAAATGAAAGCTGGGTTATTCTGTCCTTCAGGCTCTTAACGTGAGCTTTTTTCCAACTAATGTACTGGTGGTTTTGACTGAACGTAAAGGTCTATGTATTAATGGCTTCTACTTTTGTAGGTGGTGAAAAAAAGTTTTGGATGGTTATAAATTACTGTGCTTAAGAAAAAAATATTTTTTTAAAGTTAAATTGTGTAATTAAAATTTGCTTCCTGCTTGTGATGTTGGGTAGCATTCAGTGGTTCTAATTAAAGCTCTTCAGCTTTGCAGCCAAATGCTGGTATAATATAGACATGCTGGGGCCAGATGGTAAATGAACCTTTTAATCTTAACTTAGTTTTTTGGAGATCTGGATGGAACTGAGAAGCCTCATCCTGATGGTTTCACATCTTTATGTCATGGAATGCAAGATGCAATAAAACTGAAGTAACAGAGAAAGCAGCAACAAAATTGTATTAGTTTTATTCTATGAACAGACACAGGAAGGAAAACAGTTCACTGACACAGAAATTAAAACACAAACCACTGTTTTAAAGAAATTGTGAAGAATTTCTGGAATGCAACTAAATCTGTTCTTGTCAAGCAGAGATGGAATCAGAGTTCTTACAGTTCATCTACACTCTATGTCTAGGGACAGTATTAATGCCTTCTTAATGAAGGTGAACTTGATCACCTTGATCTTCAAATTCTGAATTCTGAAAGTAAAAATAGAAACGTCTTTTTTCTGTTTGTTTTCAAAGTGCAGAACATTTTGTGAATTAAAATAATAAAATCAGAATGTTCAAGTGTTGTAAATGGCCATCTCTGGGACAGCTTCTTTTTCCTCTTACTGTGGAATTATTCCTAGTGGAAACAGAGTTAAAATTAAGTTGATTTGAGGTGGGTGTTTTCTTGGGTGCAGGCTGAAAAAGAAAAGACCCCTGAATCTGTAGCACGGTGGTATATAATGGTTTGAATGGTGTGTTGCAGGGTGCTGCTGCACTTCCCAAAGACAGATGAGAAACCTGAACTGTCTAAGAGTCATGAAGGGTATGGTTCTGGAAATGTTTTCAGAGAGCACAGTCTAACAGAGTCTATTCAGCTGTATAATTATTTTCCTTGTTTTTTTTTTTTCCTGGTGCAAATAGAGGCTGAAAAAGCATAGTATTATTTTGTTCTTGTGCCTGCCTCCTTTTGTGATGGCTTAGTATATTGTTATACTAATGGAAAACTGTATGTTCGTTCCAAATGTTTTCCTTGTGCCAGTATTGCAAAGTAAGGAAAAAATGCATTATCTTTACTGATGATGCTTAAAAATTGCTGTTGACTGTATTTAATATTATATATTTTGGTTTCTTACAGTAACAGCAAGGCAGACATCTGGAATAATGGGTGAACTAATAGAGTTAAAAGTCAGGCAATAGCAAGAAAAATTAAACCAAGAGAAAATTAATTTTTCTGTAAGCTTTGATTTTATATCTTGGTATTATACATTTTACTAAGAGACCAGAGAGCTTTGAGGAAGTGATTTTTAACAAAAAAAAGTGCAGAACTCTTACTCCTCACAGAAGGTATAAAGGGGAAAGGAGAAGAGTGTTTACAGGTCAACTGACAGAAAATGAAAAGTTTAAAGCATGCAACTGCAGAGCTACTGTCCAGTGTGACTTGTGATGATATCTGTTCCAGGCAGGTATGGAAACATTCTCCTCTTGTGTTGCTTCCTGGGTCTCCTTCTAACTTGGGAATTCATTCCCCCTTTGGAGCAGCAAATTTCATCTAGGTATGAGTGTACAAATTGCGAAGTGTGCCTGGTGGTTTAAGTGTGAAGCCTCAAATGCTAATGCTGTCTCTGGAATGCCTTCACCGAAAGAATCACCGAATCATTTAGGTTGGAAAAGACCTCTGACATTATCAAGTCCAACCTATGACCAAACACTACCATGTCAACTAGACCATGGCACTAAGTGCCACATCCACTGTTTCCTTAAACACCTCCAGGGACGGTGACTCCACCATCTCCCTGGACAGTGGCATTTTATTCAAATGCCTAATCACCCTTTTCTGTGAAGAAATTCCTCCTGATGCCTAAAACCTAAGCCTCCCCTGGCACAGCTTAAGACTACGTCCTGTTGTCCTGTTGCTTGCTGCCTGGGAGAAGAGACCAACCCCACATGGCTACAACCTCCTTTCAGGTAGTTGTAGAGAGTGATATGGTCCCCCCGAGCCTCCTTTTCTCCAGGCTAAACAACTCCAGCTCCCCCAGCTGCTCCTCACAGGACCTCTGCTTATTTAAGTACTGGTTATTATTTTGTTGCCTCCTGTAGCCTACCCTGCTTCATGGGAAGGAAACAGATCTTCACCGAATCACAGAATATGCCAAGTTGGAAGGGACTCACAAGGATCATCCAGTCCAACTCCTGGCCCTGCACAGGACCATCCCCAAAGAATCACACCGTGTGCCTGCGAGTATCATCCAAAATGCTTCTTAAACTCTGTCACGGTTGGTGCTGTGACCACTTCCCTGGCGAGCCTGTTCCAGTGCCCAACCACCCTCTGGGTGAAGAACTTATTTCTGATACCCAACCTAACCCTCCCCTGACAGAACTTCAGGCCATTACCTCGAGTGCTGTCACTGGTCACCACAGAGACCGGTGCCTGCCCCTCCTCTTCCCCTCTTTTTGTATACAAAAAGAACTGTATACTAAAAAAACAAGCCGTACACCTTCGCAGTGCGTTCCCTCAGCGCAGGGATTCCCGACCGGGATCCCCCGGGACCGCCCCGCCTCCAGGTGGCGCCAGCGCACGCGGCCGTGGCGGAAGCGCGCGGCTCCTTCCCGCGCCGGCGGGGGGGGAGGCGGGGGTGCGGGGGGCGCGCGCTGGAGGCAGCGCCGCTCACGTGGGCGGCCGCTTCCGGCCGGGGCGCTCGGCGGGGGCGGAAGCGGGGCTTGCGCTGCCGCGCGCGTGGTTGGTGAGTGAGCGGGCGGCCGGCGCGCGGGGCGGCGCGCGAGGCCCGCCGTGGCGGGAGGGCGGGGAGGAAGAGGAGAGGGGGGAGGCGGCGCCTGGTCCGGGTCCTAGTCCTGGTCCCGGCGCAGTCCGTCCCGGTCCGTCCCTGCCCGTGGGGGCCGCCGCCGCGCTCGCCCTGCCCCTGCGCCAAGGGCCGCCCGCCTTTTGTGCCACCCGCCCTCCGCTCCCCTCCCCGCACGCTCCTGTGCCGGGGCGGCGGGAAAAGCGCGAGTGTGGCCGCCGTGGGCTGGGAGCCGCTCCAGGGGAAACCGGCGGCATCGGCGCCGCCGCCCCCGCCCCACCTCCCACGGCGGCTTCTCTCCTCCTCCTTCTCCTCCTCCCCCTCCTCCTCCGCTGCCGTTCCCGCCTCTCTTGCCGCTGCGGAGCCCCGGCTGTTCCCCGGCGCGGCGGCGGCGGCGGCTCCTCCCGGGAGCCCAACCCGCGGCCTCCCCGGCGCCGGGCGGGCACTGACGCGCCTTTATTTGAACGCCTCGCAGAGAGACTGGAGTGGGACGGAGGGAAGCGGCGCTCGGGGAAGAAGCCGGAGGATGTCCCGGGACGGCGAGGAGGGCTGCGTACCGGCCTAGACCCGCGGGAGGAGCCGGCTCTCGGGTGCGGCGTGCGCGGCGCGGGCCGGGCGGCGCGGTGCGGTCCAGGTGGCGGCGGCGGGGGATGCGCTGCCGGCGCGGGAGCCGCGGGGAGGTGATCGCCAGTAAGTACCGCTGCCCTGTGCGGGGAGACAGCTCGCCCGGAGGGAAATCCGTATCGGGTCAGAGGAGTTTTAGTTAGGGCGTGTGCCTTGCCTTCGGGTTTCTCAGGATTTTCCTGATTGCTTGAGCAAGGTAGTGAGGTTCCCTAAGGATATGGCCTCAGAGCTGCAAGGAAGTAATTACAGAATCAATTAGGTTGGAAAAGACTTCTGAGACCATCACGTCCAACCTGTGACTGAACACCACCACGGCACGCCATGTCCAGTCTTTCCTTAAGCCCCTCAGGGAGAGTGACTCCACCACCTCCCTGGGCAGCCCATTCCAATGTGTCATCATCCTTTCTGTGAAGAAATTCCTCCTGATGTCCACCCTCAACTTCCCCAGGCATAGCTTTTTATTGTGTCCTGTCGTCCTCTCACTGGTTATCTGGGAGAGGAGGTTGACCCCCACCTGGCTACGATCTCCTTTCAGGTAGTTGTAGAGAGTGATAAGGTTACCCCTGAGCCTCCCCTTCTCCAGACCCTTCACTACAGTGAAATAACAGTTGAAACAGTTGCTCCTTTTGGTTCCCCTCTGTTTCCCTGGGTGACTGAGTGATACCTCAAGTGGCTTCTAAAAAGTGCCGTGCACAGCTTTATGTTAAAGGAAGCGTGCATCGATTTAAGATTGTTTTAATGTTCTGGGTTGTAAAAACCACGTTAGTGCATAAACTATTAGGAGCACTCAGCTCAGTCATGTTGGAGGTGGGCCAAGTGAAAATACACAGAATCACAGATTAGTTAGGGTTGGAAGGGACCTCTGGAGATCATCTAGTCCAAACTCCCTGCCAAGATAGGGTCACCTAGAGCAGGTTGCACAGGAACATGCTCAGGTTGTTTTGGAATATCCCCAGAGAGGGAGATTCCACCACCTCCCTGAGGAACCTGTTCCAGTGCTCTCCCGCCCTCAATGTAAAGAACTTCTCCCTCATGTTGAGATGAAACTTCTTGTGGTTTGGTTTATGGCACTGAGCATCACTGAAAAGAACCTGGCACTGTCCTCTAGGCATCTGCCTTTGAGGTATTTATATGCACTAATGAGATCTCCTCTCAGTCTTCTCCAGACTAAACAGGCCCAGCTCCCACAATCACTTCTCATGAGATGGGGTTGAAGTGAAAAGCAACAGTTGTTTCAGGAAAGTATTTACGTAGTTTCATCAGCTGTGTACAATTTTTCCTGATGTCTTTCCACACAGTAGTTGCAGGGCTTTAGTTCTGTAACTGTTCTGTCTCTTTATTTAGTGTATTACATATGAATTGTAAATGAATAGGCTTAGATTACCAATTTATTTCTGGAATATATATTGCAAGGTAGACTGTGCTGCTTTGTTTTAGTAGAAGAAAGTATATTTTCTAAGCCTCATCCCTTAAAAGAACTTAATTGACTTTGTTCAGGTGTGTGCACACCTGTATTGTGAAGTTATTAATGCTAATTGGGAGCCAAACATTTCATCTTGTAGAGTGAGGCTTCCTAGGTATCTCCATTAAAGCAGGCCTTGTAAGTGAAAATAACATTTGTGTCAAAAGCTTCTAGCTATTTCTATATATCAAGTAGTGAAAAATCCAGTAATTCTTTTCTAAAAGTTGCATGTGGTAAAAATCAAAAACTTCTAAACCCATGATTGTTATAGTTGGGACACTAAAGGACCCTTTTATTTTGGCACCCAGCCCTAAGTTTTTAAAAGCCTTTTGAGTTGATAGGTTACTTATGC